TGTGGGGGGGGGGGGCACGCAGATCTGCCCTCACAGAGGAGGGAGAGCTTGTACCTGAATAAAACTTGGTCTTAAAGGTGCCCCTGGACAGTTTTGGATTGCTAGCTATGGGGGCGGGGGGAACACACAGATCTGCCCTCACAGAGGAGGGAGAGCTTGTACCTGAAGGCGGGCCGAGGGGGTGGCTCTGCAACTTACCTGGCTGCTTCTTGCTCCTTGTGGCCCGACTGAGGGCTGCTGGGAGCAGGGGGTGGGGCTTTGTTGTATGTGCCCGCCCCCTGGGCTCTTTACTGCCGGAGCTCCGCTCCTCTGCGCTCCCGCAGGAAATGACCCCTGCTCCCGTCACTGGTTTTCAGGGACCGACTGCCTCTAAACACAGAGGCTCTTTCTGACTCCAGACCCAGGAATGGCGCCCACCAACCTCCCTGCAGCATCTGTCAGGGGCTGGCCTGTCCCAAAGCCGCCTCCTGATCCTCACCCCCATCTTGGCAGCGGCCTTGTCTCGCTCCCCTCCCCCTCCCCACACATTCCCTTTCTGAGCCATCCGTCTGTCCGTCTCCTCCAACACACCCCCAGCCGTCAGCCGTCCGTCCGCAGAGATCCTCAATATGCCTGTCTCCGCATTCGCCTGCCTATCACCGACCTGTCCGCGGACGGCACTTAACTATTCATCGAAGCCATCTGCCCATCCATCCGTCCATCCGTGCAGATTATTTATCTACCCGTCCGCCTGTCCCTCCCCGCTTCCCCGCCTCTCCCTCCTGTTCTCACTTTCTCGTTCTACATTCCCCTCAGGTCCTGCTCCTCCCGGCCGCCCTGGAGACAAGAGAGAGAGAGAGAGAGATGATGGATGGAGCCAGGAAAGGACAGACAGAGAGAGATAAACGCAGTGGCGGGGAAGGGCGGTACAAGACCGAGAAACAGCCTCACCGCATGTACGTCTTTTAAAACAGAAAATCACACACACACACACACACCCAGTGGGGCCCAGTGGTGCAGACGGACAGAGGACGGGAGGGACAACGGTGTGCACACGATGGAGTCTCGGACAAAATATTTCAGACTCATTAATCTCTCAGCTTGTGGTATTGACATAACCTCGAGGGACGAGGGATGTGTGTGTGCCTCCTTTGTCAAGGATAGAGAGGGCCCCTAGTCCATTATCTTCTCTCCTCTAGGGCTCTCGAGCACATAGCCACGACATGGTCGTCAACTCGGGGTGGGGAAATTCCTGGAGATTTGTGGGCGCGACCTGGGGAGGGACCTCAGCGGAGGTACATAAGAACATAAGAGATGCCAATGTTGGATCAGGCCAAAGGCCCATCCAGTCCAACACTCTGTCACACAGTGGTCAGAAATACCAGGTGCCATCAGGAGGTCCACCAGTGGGGCCAGGACATTAGAAGCCCTCCCACTGTTGACCCCCCCCCAAGCACCAAGATGACAGAGCATCACTTGCCCCAGAGTCCCTATCTATCCCTTGTGGCTAAGAGCCACTGATGGACCTCTGCTCCATATGCTTATCTAATTCCTTTTTGAAGCCGTCCATGCTTGTAGCCAGTGAATTCCAAGTGTTCATCGCTCTTTGGGTGAAGAAGGACTTCCTCTTATCCGTTCTAACCCGACCGCTCAGCAATTTCATGGAGTGCCCACGAGTTCTTGTATTGTGAGAAAGGGAGAAAAGTACCTCTTTCTCTACCTGCTCTGTCCCATGCATAATCTTATAAACCTCGATCATGTCACCCCTCAGTTGTCGTTTCTCCAAGCTAAAGAGCCCTAAGCGCCTTAACCTTTCCTCATAGGGAAAGTGTTCCAACCCCTTTATCATTCGAGTTGCCCTTTTCTGCACTTTTCCCAAAGCTATAATATCCTTTTTAAGGTGTGGTGACCAGAACTGCACACAGTATTCCAAATGACATCTCACCATTGATTTATATAGGGGCATGATGATATTGGCTGATCTGTTTTCAATACCCTTCCTGATAATCCCCAGCATAGCATCGGCCTTCTTTATTGCAGTCACACACTGTCTCGACATTTTCAGTGAGTCCGCCCTCCAAAGCCACCAGTCTCTCCCGGGGCCCTGACCGCAGCAGTCTGGAGATGAGTTTCGGAGGGTGGCCGTGTCGGTCTGCGGCAGAAAAGCAACATTCGAGTCCAGGAGCACATTAGAGACCAACACAACTGGCTTGAAGGCATCAGCTTTCGAGAATCAAAGAGGGATTAACACGTGGAACTCACTGCCACAGGAGCTGGCGGCGGCTACAAGCATGGACGGCTTCAAGAGGAAATTAGATGAACATATGGAGCAGAGGTCCATCAGTGGCTATTAGCCACAAGGTATAGGTAGGAACTCTCAGTCTGGGGCAAGGGATGCTCTGTAGTCTTGGTGCTGGGGGGGGGCACAGTGGGAAGGCTTCTGGTGTCCTGGCCCCACTGCTGGATCTCCTGATGGCACCTGGTATCTTTGGCCCCTGTGTGACACAGAGTGTTGGACTGGAGGGGCCATAGGCCTGATCCAATATCGGCTTCTCTTATGTTCTTATATTCTAGTGTCCTGGCCCCACTGCTGGACCTCCTGATGGCCCCTGGTATTTGTGGCCACTGTGAGACAAGAGTGTTGGACTGGATGGGCCATTGGCCTGATCCAACATGGGCTTCTCTTATGTTCTTATGTTCTAGTGTCCTGGCCCCACTGCTGGACCTCCTGATGGCACTGGTATTTTTGGCCACTGTATGACAGAGTGTTGGACTAGATGGGCCATTGGCCTGATCCAACATCGGCTTCTCTTATGTTCTTATGTTCTAGTTTCCTGGCCCCACTGCGGGACCTCCTGATGGCCCCTGGTATTTATGGCCACTGTGAGACAGAGTGTTGGACTGGATGGGCCATTGGCCTGATCCAACATAGGCTTCTCTTATGTTCTTATGTTCTAGTGTCCTGGCCCCACTGCGGGACCTCCTGATGGCCCCTGGTATTTGTGACCACTGTGTGACAGAGTGTTGGACTGGATGGGCCATTGGCCTGATCCCACACTGGCTTCTCTTGTGTTCTTATGTAAAGGAGACCCCTGAGTCTCCTTCCATCCCCATCAGAAGGTGGGAGGGACGTTGCAGAGGAAAGAGGTTCGCAAAGGTACAAGGCAGAACGTAGGCATCTGGACTAGAGAGGAGGGGAGGAGCTGTGATTCCAAGTTCTCTCCAGGCCCCGCCTGGAAGTCAGCAGTCCCAAGGCAGTAGAAAAGAGCCAGAGTCCCAGCAGTGGCTCCCGAAAGCTCCTCCCCTGCCACAAATGCTGTGAAGTCTCGAAGGTGCTCCTGGACTCTGGCTCTTTTCTACAGCAACAGGCAGACTCGCATTAGGACCCATTCCTAATGGCTGCCCACGCGGGCGGGCCTTAGTCCCCGTTCCTCTTGCCCTCCCCAAATCCCTTCCTTTCCCAAGCTAAGGTTGCCAGCTCTGGGGAAGGGGATTTGTGGAGATTTGGGGGTGAAGGGGGGGAGCTTAGCAGGGTATAATGCCATCAAATCACATGAACAGACCTAAAGCTGCCTTATTAGACTCTTAGAATCATAGAGTTGGAAGGGACTTCCGAGGTCATCTAGTCCAACCCCCTTGCAAAAGGCAGGACATTCACAAATACTTTCCCCTCCACACCCCCAGTGACTGCTGTTCCATGCCCAGAAGATGACCAAAAACCTCCAGGATCTCCAGCCAAACTGTCCTGGAGAAAAATGGCTTCCTGACCCCAAAGTGGCGATCTGCAGTTCCCTGGGCGTGTAAGAAA